ATAAGATTAAAATAAGTTCAATTTTTACGCCTCGGGGTATCGATTGATTTTGTAGTAGTCATTTTGTTGTTCTTTATCATCAATATTTATTAAACATTCATAATGAATAATCTAATAATCGATATCTGTATAAGTATCAGTGTATCCCAATAAAAATGAAGCGAATCCACCAGCAATGTTTCCTGGTTTTTTTTTTAATCCTAAATACACTTCTAGCACATTTTGTTTAATTTTTTCACATAAAGTTTGATTTAACGCACGTCTATTTTGAATGTTTAACTTGTAAAACTGATCACTTATCAACAACTTTTTCATATTTATAATGCAATTCTAGAAGACTTATGTCTGAAGCAAGACTGGTGATTTTTATAAACAAATCTCCCAATAAATGCAGGGTAGGCCTTACTCCTCACTTTCTTCCTCCCTACTCGTGTTTTCCTCCACAGGACATTTTTCCAGATTTTATTGCAACTTTAGATTATGCAGCTACAGGTTAATGCATCGTATTAGCTGCAAGGTATTTTTTTCAATCGATGTTTCCCACGGTGCATTTCTCTCGATTTCATAGCAACGTAAGATAATGCATCTGCAGGTAAATGCATCACATTAGCTTTAGTTGTCAAGTTTAAAGAATCCAGGTGATTTAGTAAGATTTCCCCGTTGTCCACATACCGAGACAAGGCATACCTACACTTTGATGAACACCTCATTGATTATTCAGTAAGATTTCCCCATCCATGTTTGACACCTTACCTCAGGAATCCTCCCCCGACCCCCCGCCTCAATAAAACCTAAGAACCCCCCCCCTCCTTTTGACGTCTACAGCTATGAGAGTTCTACTATGATATTCATCCCCACTCCATGCGTCCACAGCTATAAGAGTTCTACCACAACCCTCTAAAAAAAAAAAGGTGTGGTAGAACTCTCATAGTCTATCTACTTGAGTGATCTCATTCGAATGATTCACGCTCTGAGATTTCATATGAATGTTAAATAATGTTTATAAAAATTCAATTTGTAATGAAAAATCGAAAACGAAATTTACATAATGAATTTGAGTTTTTCTGACGAAAATTATTTCGTTGATTGAAACTGAGTTCTTAAAAATGTGACACGATGTGAATAAAACTGTAATCATTTATAATAATGCAATTTTTTATAAACTATAAAAGTGGTCTCAATCAGAAGTACATTCATAGAGAACTTTAGCTCAGCTCAGATATTAGTTGATGAAAAACTCTTTATTCCCTTTTCTCTTGGGTTTAAAAAAGTAACTGAAAATCTTGTTCTACACGTGGAAATATTGAAAATTGGGAAAGTTACTTCAAGTAAAAAATTCAATTTAAATGTTATATTAACAATAGGTCTGAGCACACTTTGTTTGTGCTAACACGACGAACCTCCCATTAGTAATTGTTTATAACAAATTTAAATAGTTGTAATCAATGTTTGTTGAAAACATCCAAATACATGTGATTTACACAGTACCTATTCAATGAATACAATTTTCGATTGTTTAAAACAAATTCAGATTGTTATAAACAATGCGTAATTGTTAAGAGTCATATTTGGTTGTAAACAATAATGCCTAGTCAATATCGACTTAATTTTTGAATTTAATTGTTACTGTTAGGCTCAAAAGTACTTTAAACAGCTAATCTTTTCATTTTTTATTAGTCATTTTGCTATAAAATAAACGGTTCGATCGAATTTGTTCAAATTTCTTTCAGATCTCCTTTGTAATAATATTTTTCGAATTAATTTTCGTTGAAGTTGATATCTTGATCTGTTCTTAAGATATCGAAAACAAAAAAAATGCTGACGTCATACATACATACATACATACATGCATACAAATATCTTGAAACGTGGAGATTAAATGAAAATCCAAATTTCACCAATCCACCCAATTAGAATAACTTTTTAACGGGAAGGTAATAATATTGTAAAATATTTATATGTCGCTATTCAATGACTATTAGACTCACGACAGTTTGTTAGTTAACGACGATTGCTCGACGATTAGATTGTTTATAGCAACAAGGGGAGAGTTCGTTTGTCTCCAGTTTTTGACTGAGACTTGAGTTGACCGCACGGATACTTCGTTTTAAATTCATTACTGTCATTATTTAATAAACTTTTTCTTTCATTAATTTATTTTCCGAAGTTGTTATTAGGTTTTATTTTACAATATATTCTAAAAGTTTACATACTAATTTTTTTTAGAACACTTTGAAAGCTAGTTGAAGGATATACTTCTGGAAAAAAAGTTCACTTCTGATTAATTTGTGGACTGAATATTATTCAGAAGTCGTCACCTCTGTCAAATCACCGAATAAAGAAGTTAAAATTATGATGTTTTCTAAAAGGGCTATTGAACAAATTTAATCATTAAGTCTTTGGGTTTACAATATAGAAAAATTCTGTAAGGCATTTTTTTGACAGTTTCCTATGACAACGAAGTAATTTAAATTTGAACTTCAGAAATAATGATATTGAATTACAATCACTGACTCATAATCAGCCCTCGTCTTCGCAGTATATTGATCTTTTCCGTCATTCATAGTTTAAAAGTAGTTATACATTCATTAACTCAGGTGAATTAAAAAATCCAGTCTACTTTATTTGTATTTGACTGTGAGTTTCACTGTGGAATTTCAGGATGTAAAAATATTGCCATTATCCGTTGTACATAGTAAAAAAATCATTGCGGTTCGAACATTTTTATAATGATTATCACTTATAGAATACGTACAATAAATGAATAATGTATTTTCTTCGCTTTCATAGAAATCTGGAAAAAAAGGAATATTTTTTGTGGCATCGATTTTGATGTCATTTTAAATATTGCAAAGCCACATATTTCGTAAATTTTTATGTTCTTTTGATTAAAGCTCGTCATATAAAAAAAGAATTTATAATTTGTTATGTCTAAATGTATTTTAAGTATTTCACATAATTATTGAAAACATATTTTAAGAAAAGCGAAAATGAATAGCAATAAAACTTAAGGATTTAGGTTAACGATTACTACTCACGTTATTTCCCTTTAAGTTTTCCTGAGATTTCGTTGAAATAGAAATGGTTCCGAAGAATAGTTGAGGAAGCCATCTTTTAGATGTTTTATTGCTTTTGGGAAACTCACGTGGGAAAAGCAATAAAATTTTAAAAAAAGAGTACGTGATGTAAGAAGAGCGTTAGCTTCCCAAAAAGGGGAAGACCATGTGAAGGGACTTGTGCGCGCCTGTAGCAAGGGACTTCTAATTAGGTCACATTTGACTGAATAAATACGTAAAGTTTGATGCATCAGTCAGTTGTCGAACAAGTAAGATCGAGATCAGATCGTCGTGGAACATCTCTTGAAATCGTATCTCTTGTTTTGTCTTGAACATTGTTTTGATAATATTCCAAATTTTGTAAATTTTCGTATAAAGTTTATTTGATCGTTAAGTTATTTTTTTAATTAATATTTAAATTAATTTGCCGGTAAAAATGTATATTGCGCTGCTTGGAGCATCAACTGAGGGCCAATAAATTATAACTCATCTAGACCAGAGTAAAAGAAATCATCTGTTGGTAACGTTTAAATTGTTGTTATAATTTTCCAATAATTTTCGTTCAATAAATTTTGTTATTGTTTTTTTATATAAAATCACACATTTTCACTTTCTCTATCGAAGATCCCTCCATCCCTGTCTATTGGTCGAAAGGCTAGGACTAAAAAGAGGAACTTAAAGTCTCTCAGGTTGAGCATATGTTTTACATATTGACACCTTCAAAGAGTAAAAATACATTCCAAGTTTTTGAGTTATAGATTTTTTTGTTATTTTCGATTTAAAAAAATGTGTACATGCAAGTTTGAGGTGATTTTCACCTTTTTAAAATGTCTTTTAGCAGAAAACCAAAATACGTAGTCCATTATTTTTAACTTGCGAAGTTTCTTTGTAAGTAAACTACAAACACAACTAGTAAGTACAGTAAAAATATTTAAAATACTCTAATACCGGACTCGTCCACCGGTGCTCAAGTCAACTCACTGGACAAATAGAAAGTATTTTCTTCATGTCTCAGCAGACAACTCTACGGCCCTGGTAACGCCAACAAGCACGCGGTCAAGCACTTGTAATGTCAGTTAGTTCCAGACAAATCACACGGTCCGATCTGCAGTCGTCACAATTAGTGTATCACGAAAAACCATAAACGAATTTATCAGTCTAAACAGTGGTCCAGTATAATTAGCATTGGGTTTTAGGGCGCGAAGCTGGTCTGGCGGCGACACCATAGTGCCTCACGGACAATCACGCATGCAGTACACTACAGGAATACTTACCTGTACTTGTATGTCTATCACTACACGCTGTATCAGATTATTTTTGTTACTTTGTTTGGTTTCCGGACTATTTTTTTGTGAAGTATTAACAGAAAACTTGGTGATTACATTCTTTATACTCATAGGTTAAATGTTATGCTAATAAAAAACAATAAAATATTATAAATTATATATTTTGCTTTGAATGATGTCCTAGTAATGACTAGTCAGTATTGTCATTATTGATAAAAATGGTTTTCATTCTTTCACTTAAAATTATTTTAAATAGTCCATCCTTGTTAGTTCTTTCGGTATAAAAGAAAGAATGGTCTGAAAAGATTCGTAGACATTTCGCTTAGATCTTCTGTATAATAATTTTCTTTGTATAATTTTTGTTAAAGTCGATTCTTTAATCCGTTCTTGAGATATTGGAAACGGAAAAAATGCCAACAAACGTATGTACGTTAATATACGATAATGTATAAATCTACAGCATTTTTATAAAACATTTTCCGGCATCTATAGCAGCTTTCGTAAAAAATTATAATAAATTCGCAAATTTCAAAAATTAACTACAGGACTGTAGTTCTTCTTCACCGTCAAGTGTCTTTTGATGCTCATTTTTATTGTATTATTGAAATTTCTCAATGCTGATCATCTTAGTTTACTTAAATCGCAATTTATGTTTTAGTTCGGTGGTTCAGAAGCAATTATAACTGCGTTGAGTGACGAATTCCCAATCATAGGCAATCATCGAGAAATATTCGTCGCATGTCTGTTTTCATTTTATTTTTTGATTGGTCTTGCTTCATGCTCACAAGTAAGCATATATTTAATCGATTAATTGACTAATAAAATCTAATTTTTAATCTAATGTATCACCAAACACATATCTAGGGAGGATTCTACGTATTTCACTTACTTGATCGCTATGCAGCGGGCTACTCAATGCTCTTTGCTGTTTTCGCAGAGTCGATCGCAGTGAGTTGGATTTACGGAACCGACAGATTCTGTGATGATATCAAAGACATGGTTGGCTCCTCACCAGGATTCTATTGGCGTGTGTGCTGGAAATTTATTGCTCCGTTATTCATTATTGTAAGACATTCTCATTATACAACTAATTATTATTCAATTTCGTCTTTTACAATTATATGCTACATTAATTAGCAATTTATCATGCATATAATGAAAGATAAATTTTTGTATGTTAAGTTTATTATCATTTATGGCTTGATGGGTTACGAGCCATTATCGTTTGAAGACTACACATATCCTCAGTGGGCAAATATCGTTGGATGGATTATTGCTTCGTCTTCCGTCAGTATGATCCCTGGAATAGCGATAATTCAATTAATCGTTACACCTGGGACTTTTATTGAGGTAATAATGAAACATACAGCTCCAAAATTTTTCTTTGAGATTTATTCTAAACATTTATCTCACTATTATTGGAATTGAATAATTAAATATCGAATAACATTGCTATTACATCTAATCATCCATAATTATTGTGTACAAAATATTTCCGACACCTGAATTCGAATAACGTATATAATTTATTGTTTCAGAGACTATCCTATCTTACGACGCCATGGAAGGATAATCAATCAACAGATAAAAACATGAAATCATCTGTCAGTTCATTAACGAATGGAGCATTCAAAACAAGCTTAGTCCAAGTACAGAACTGTAATAATAATCAAAATTCATTTCTCATGTTGAAGAAACAGAGAAAAATCTTTCGACCAATTAAAAAAAACCACCTATGCTCCGAACCAGTCTAAAGTAGTTATGATTTTTTGACAATAATTGATATTGTATATAATGGTCTAAATATTTTGTATCAACGAAAACTTTAGCATGTTGAAAACGACAAAAAAAGAATCGATTTGGATTCATATAAATGTAAAACTTCATCGTAAATGGTCGAGGCATCTGAATGAATGACTTTGAATTAAGTAATTTCTTGAATGTTGTTAGAAATCATCGTAGGATTAAGTAAAAGATAAAAGTGCATAAACAAAATGTAACGAAACCATCATACAAATTAATCTGAGTCTAAAAATTGATAGATTATTTTCCAATCTTTTTTAATCTTGCAATTTGAAGAAGTCTTGTTAGATTCCGAAGAAGAAATCCGTATCTGATATGTATTACATACACAATTTTTGTTATGAACATTAGCATCCGTGAAAAGAACGTGTCTGAAAATTTTTATGAATAAGTAAGTTGTTAAATATTTTTTTGACGCTCTAAAAATAACTAGATGTTTAAATGTCTTTAAGGAAATTATGATTCAATTCAAACATCGTTCATCAATTGAAGTTACATAACAGTAGAATAATAAACATCATATAAATTTAGAAAAATATTTTCTCATTACTAAAAAATTTGACACCGGATTTATGTTATGGTAAATAATGTTTTAATGTCAAGATGAATAGTGGCATTTAGGCTAGTATAAAAACAGCGTCGTCTGCAAAGTCGTTATTTGTCGTATCTTATTCACAACAAATTTATCAAAAAATCCAATCATATGGCATCATTACCTGTATTCCATTTAATTTGTCCGACGCTCTTGCTTAATCATAGGTTGGGGATGGGTAATAATAATACTGATATTTTAAAAAAACTTTCCAAATCATCAATGTTTATATCGTTCAGCTTTCACACTTTCGATGACCTTGAAATTTGAGTATGGTATCAATGTGATTATGCTAATCAATTCAATCCACGTATTACCTGTATAACTTTACGTTGATTATATTCTTGTTAAATAATGATCAAAGTAGAAGAGCAGCTTAATTGCTATTTTTTAGTATATGTGGACACATAATTTCAAACGATTCTATTTGAGCCATGCCGTTTACTCTCTCACGATTGAATGTTGGCAAAATTATATCTTTTCGAATTTCCTCTAAAACTGAAAAACTTTCGGGAAACCTATTCTTCGTCTCGAAGAATATATATTCCATCATTTACAACATGATATTATAATGACATATCGAAGTTATAAGAGACATGAAGATTAAAAAACCTTATGAGCGCTAAATACCTTTTTCTATTATAATTTGGGCGTATATAGTAATTATTATGAACATTGCAAACTGAGAAATAGTGCTGATTGGCGTTCATTTATCTATTATAAAGTTTTGAGTCAAGTATAACCAATATCTTGCATGATGATAGTGTTGAAACACCAGTTCAACATTTCAAGTGACCTTTCGCTCATCAATAGAGTCTCTGCATAAGATATTGCTGAATTTCAAGATGATCAACAAAGAATTCCCTTTTTTTTTATAAGTAGACTGAAAAACTTCATGATATGAAAATAGGCTGGAACTTGAACAATATTTGTTTCGTCCTGACTACTTGAAGTTTGACAAAGTATTGTTGACTGATAAACTTTCCATAAATTTCTCATTGGTTTAAGAATTTATATTCTTTCATCATTTTCGGGATGATTTCTCCACAAACTATTAAAGAAAAGGGTAAGATGGTAGTTTTTATGTAGAATCGGAGGATTTATAATTTATCGTTGAAAAAGTTTTTTATATCCCATAAATTTTTGGAGATTATTAGAAAAAAAATTGTTTATGGGTTGTTCCTACTTTTGCCTGGAGTTGAAGCTTTTTTTTTTTAAGAAAAATTGATCTCAATGACATTAAGATTATTTTCTCCTATTTTCATCAGTATTACCCAAAATCTACGTTCCACCTTAATTTTACGGGATGACATTGGATGATTTCTCGAATAAAATTTGTACGAAGTCGACATCTACATTTGTCAACAAAGTTGTGGAATCAGAAAAACTCTGACATTCGTGCATACACTCACACACATTCATAAATTTCTCTGAAAACTAGTCGGTATGCATGTTATACTTCAAAACGTGCCAAAATCATAGATGAACTCCGAGCCCTAAGAATCGGTTCTACTACAACAACTTTCTAAAGTAGAATCGAAAAAAAGTGTGTTTTCATAAAAAAGAATATTTTTAACAATCTTACATTTTCATAATAACTACTTTGCAGACGCTGACCCACATATGTATCATATATTCATGTGTACGTGTATGTAGACTCAGTCCTTTGAACATCAACTAGTTTACCATATATAACCCCTAGAGACCATTCATAAATCAGTACAGTTGAAGAAAACCCTCAATCAAACTGAATAAATACCTTATCACCGCAATTCCATATAATTGCATACAACATGACTTATAATTATAAATTATGAATTAGTGCATTTATAAAACAATACTTATCTAAAATTATTCAAGTAAGATTTCAAAAAAATTACAAGCGATATGAATTTCAATCCGAATTTTTTTATTGCAAATTTGGCCAGAGAAGAGTAAGATCCCGATAAATAATCGGCACAAACGAAATTGGAGGTCCATTTATATTATCCGAGTTGTCACGACAGCCATCAGTGACATTTCAGAAACTTATAAAGCTTCATTGAATTTTTATCATTTTATTATTTAGTATGGAAAGAAGATTCCTAACGGCCCCACCATCATTGCTGATATTTTAATGCTTAGGACATAATCAGACGGATGAAACACTTTCTATAGAGTAAATAATAGGTATTATCAAATATATATATAATCTCTATTCATATGTGATAAAAGGACTGAAATGTAAATGTTTGTTCAAGAGCCATATTGATCAAACATGTGGAATTTAGTGTTATTTAAATTATATGTCTGATCAAAATAAATTGTAGTAAACAATGGACCAACTAAAAGCCTACCAAAATAAACTTGTGTTAAATTAAAATTTAATTTAGATATCGTTAAAAAAACTCCTTGAAAAATAGATTTTATAACCGCATGATTAGTTTTCTCAATTTTTACCTATGAAAATGATAATAATTTTTTTTTATTTGACTCACAATGTTGACATCTTATGTCTAAAGATTACGTAACTGGTAATAGATTTTAATAACATCACTAAAAGTTTGGCTCTTTAATTACTATCGCTCCGTCATTTATCTATTTTTTCTCTATTTTTGCAGCCCACCATGCTTGTGCAGGCACACGTTTTTGAAATGAGGCAAGTTGGTAAAACTAAAAGTCGGATCTGAATCCTCTTTTTACCAGGCAAAGATGCTACTGAAGCTTTCTCTCACTTGTTTTATTACTTACCATTCGTACCTACTTTCTTTCGTAAACAATTTCTCTTTTAGCTTAAGTTAGAAGAGCAAATATGTCCAGAAAAAAGCTTGCTTCTTCGCCCTGAAAAAAACTTTAGGTAAGTACCTCATTTTACCTGTGCAAGAATAGGACATAGGTTTTGAAACACAAAGTTTAACTTCGATTTTGCAAGTTTTATTAAAGATGTCAATTTTTGATCTTAAGGCTGAGCTAAATTTGAGAATGCGACTGATTCATTCTACCTGAATACATAGAAGCGTAGTTTTCCAATTTTTCCGCCAATGTATATTTGTACTGACAAATTTTGGTCCCAAATTAAAGCTCATTTTATAATGCAGTGCGCTAGATTACACTTTTAATCATCCAATTTATTTATTGATTAAAAAAATTGAAGAGAAAATTGTAAATTATTTATTTCCTAGCTAATTTCAGTTCCTAAATGTTGTCTTGCGTAATTCCTGCCATGTTTCTAATTTCCAAACAAATTCAACATATTTTTAATTCTAGAATTTATTTTAATAATCCTACTTAATTAGACTTCTTTAACAATTACTGGGACTCAAATCATCATCGTAAATTTCTATATTAAATAATCATTTACGCTATAACAATCTTCAAAATGAATCAACTGAAACTTTAACCTGTTACAATTCTGGAGCTCAAATAAACCTTACATACTAACTAAAGAATATTTCTTTACAAAATATTTCTCAATAAATCGTAACTCAAAATTCTAAACTCACAAACGCAATATTTTAGTTTTCCACAATAAATAAATCTTTAAATCGAATCAACTAAACTAAATCATAATGCTCTTTATCAAAATCTACATTCAAACTTGAACTAACGAGTACGAGAGCAAACCAAGCCTCACGGATTTTTTTTAATTCAACACCCTAATTTTAACTAACTACAAATTTACCTCTTGACCCATTACAAATCTATTCTCTATAACTTACAAATTCTGCAGAGAGCTTTCGATACTGTAGCTTTTGTCAAACTTGGTCCTGGTTGTCCTGGACGTTCTTCCATTTGAATTGAAGATCCTTTCTAATCTTCACTGTGATTACTGGAGTCTTCTCTGCTCTTCTCTCTTGTTGTTACTAACAAATAATTATTGATCATGGTGATTATTAAATAGAAGATTTTAAATCGTTATAAACAACAGGAATAGAGATCCATGCAATGTGTTTGTATTCTTCCAACGCATAATTTTTTCTTTTACTAAGACTTTTCTCAACATTTGGTGCATTAATAAAATGTTGACAAAAAGTCCACTTTTGAATTAGCCTAAGAAATCACTAATTTTTCCGTTTCTGTCAGTTTTCCACTGATAATCAGTGTTAGCATCAGTCCTTGCCACTTCTCTGAATGTTAAAAAATTTATCTGTAGTAGGAAATTGAATAATTGAGAAATAATTAAAAGTATTGTATTCCAGATGATTTCTTCCGGAAATTAGTTCAAAAAATTTTCGATATGTAGCAGCATCATGCTCGCAGATGATCTCAGTCATCCATATTGAAAAAATATTCAATCCGTATTTTTGAGAAAATCTCAACTTTTGAATTAGCCTAACCGCTTAAGGATAGGGATGATTGGGTCAGAACAGAGCAAACCGAAGTCAGGTTTTATAAAAAATGTAGAATCTTTATTTTCAGCACTGACAAATACGCAATACTGTACAACACTTGATTCACTAAGCAAAAGAATGAATTTCACTTGAATAGTTATAAATATGTGAAAGATGATCACTTAAGAATCACTGAATGTCTGTACAACTTGACTTGATGTGTTCGATATTATTGACCGTTCACACGAGCTTAACACGCTTCTCAAGTCAAGTCGAATGGTGATTCCAATGATACGGGATTATAGATCAGACTATTCTCTACGAGTATGCAAATTTTTATTCCTTATTATTGATATTGAAAAAAGTTAAAGATTTTAAAGAAGAGAGAAAAAATCATGTTTTCTGTACCTTCTGCTCTAAAATTGATGCCCTCATATCGAGCAATGCAAAGTGAATTTAATTTCTTTAAGTTAAATTTGCAGTGAATTGTCTCAAAATACTACTCGATTCGGTTATAAAATAAGAATACGAATGAACTTGTAGGTTCAGAAATGCACTACAATTAATGATTGACTTACAAAAGATAGATTTTAGAGAACAGAATAAGAATGTCGTGTACACGTGAGCGAGAACACAAAAACAATCGCGACAGGAACTTCATTGGTCAAGATAAAGACTGAAAATTAGTCAAATGAGTGACTAGAATTAGAAATATTCATTATTGTGTCGATTCGTTATCGACCTAGTTCCAAGATGGCCGCTAAAGTTTATATCAGCTGATAATTCAAACTTAAGAATTGATTAATTCTCAACACAATTTTTTCATAAGAAGTCTGTAAAAAAATATCATTATTAGATTTTACATACGAGTAAAACTTATCGTCTGTTTTTTTTGGATGTCCCTCAAATCCTGCAAACTGTTCTGTTTCCTCATGATTGAGTTTTAATCCTTGTATCACAGTAGCGATTTGTTTTCTCTATTTGTTAGGAGTGATATGCACAAGATACTGCAAGTTGCATTTTTGTGCAAATTTTTGAATGGCTTTGTCACCTCTCATCCAACTGTTAGTCTTAATTTAGGTAAATAAATGTTCATTTGTAATTGGTACAAATGTTTTTGTCATTCTTACATCGATTAAAACATTTATGAGATTTTGTAAACTTGAGGGAAACAAATTCACAACTATTCTTTAACCTTCTCCACCAGTAACAATTCTTATGTAGAATGTGGTTGAAGCCTTTTCTGACTCAATTAGAGAATTAAGGCATTCTTCTTGATTAATAGAAGTAAAATCGTTCTAGTATGTTTTTAATTTGGTGTATTGTACACCACCGATACGCCTACTATTACAGTGACCGGTTAAAACAAGTGTTACACTAACTCAGTCTTTATAATCATTTGGGCTATTGGTGCTAGCGATGAGATTCGCAACTTTATTCACACAGTTATTGAATTCTAGCACATCTTTGGTTAAAGTTATTATGACGGTCCTTGTAATGTCCTTATAAGCTAGGCTACTTATTTCCGTCGTCCACTGGGTGGAAATGAGATTTTTCAATCGTCTAACTGAGTTACTTTCAGCGTCTGCGTCAGTAAACGACAGACATTGATTTTTTGTTTCGATTAGGTAAGTGAGTTCATCGCACACTCCTTGTGAAGTGATGACAAGATGAGCTATTGAACTTGGAGCATTCTTGAAAATTTTTGTTGTGGGATCAAATCCACTTAGTTGTTTTGCACACTTGACAACTTTGGTAAACACTGATGGTTCGATCGCATCAATCAATTTGAAATCTGAATTATTCTCAACTTTTCGGAGCGCGATAAGAAGTCTGGCTGAATCTCGTATTTATTGGAACATGCCGGTATCATCTGCTTTCTTTTATTTTTTAAAAGGCGTGAACCGTTTGAACCTCGGTAATGTATTTGAATGAACGTACCTTTTTTGCTTGATTAATGTTCGAAACATTATTGTCCGGTGTCTTCATTTGTACCAAACCATGTTGCACTTCATTTTCTTTATTAAAATTTCAATATTTCTACTCATTTCTCTCTGATGCTCCACGCATGTATCAAATTCTGAATGTAAACTTTGAGTATACTGAAATGAAATTGACTTGGTATAGATAATATTATTGAGACTGTTAGAGAAATTGAATTTGTGGCAAACAAAATTTTTTTAATTGACAAAATTATATATTTAGACTGATTAATAAACGGAATACTTTTCCTACCTCTTGAAAATATTCAGCTGTATCATTTTTGATTTTCCCTTCTTCTACTTCTATCTCTACATCTAAATCTGAGCATGAACTTGCTGCGTGCTAAAATTAAAAATTTTTTTTTTACATATGAATAAAGAACTTTATGTTTATGTATAAATTTGTTTAAGAGATATGAGATTGTCGTCATAATAAAAATTTTTACGTTCATACATTTGTGTCAGGTATCCTAACATTATGATTCCTATATAACAAAAGCAATGAACAAGTAATGCTTACATCTGTCTGGTAACAATAAAATAACTCAAACGTAGAATCACGGTCATCATCATCAAATTCAAATAAATTATCCGATTCTAAAGAATTAGGGCTGCATGGACTATAACAATTTTTTTTATCATTAGATAATAAAGTTGCTTGTTGTAATCACGCGCTTGTCCTCTGGCTCGTTGTACCGATTCACAAAGAAAGTAAAAAAAAAGAATAAATTGATTTATTAAATTCTTTTAATTCGGTTATTATAATGATATGAAGAATTAGTGTGACTATTTATCAAAAAAAATTATCAATGAAACTGGTTCTGAAATAATTCTATTATTTTTGTTTGCAAATATGTTTTTCTATTATTTTATAAAACAGTAACGACTAAATTTCCTTAAGGCGAATCCTTAAGAAAATTCTCGCCCGAGTTTAAAACTTAACGCATTTTATGGCCCAGGTTTCTATGGCGGATACGTTACAAAGTAATTTCTCTAAATACAAATGAAAATCCAATTCCAACTTTATTATATAAACAATTTACAACATATAT